TGCTCCAAAACGGAGGGAAGTGACAGGGGTGTGTATTTACCACTGAAACACACTAATAGCATAATTAGTTTAAAAAGAGACGTTATAATCCAGCTGTTTCATCATGATATATTATTGATAGTTGGAAAGGGGATGTATGCCTTTGAACTACCTCAAAAATTTAGACCCAAAAATAACAGACTCCGTTTCTAAACAGAATGCAAAGTATTCCTGTTTGTTATAATAAGTGAAAAAAAATTTTTCAATGTATTTCACATCTATGATTTTTTTTTCTCATGCTAGAAGTAAAGCATTATAAATTATACTCCTGTTAATTTAACTGCATATTGCCTGTACCGCACAAAGATCTTCCCTATCGTTTTCCGTCACGATCAGCGCATATCTTTGCATCGCAGTTATTTTGTGCGGTGCTGCAGCGATTGCAGCAGTAACCAAAATGTCTCCCCGGATCCCGCACCGCTCCCTCCGGGTCCCCGGCAGCGCTCACGGCCCGGCCCGGCCCGGCCCGGCCCGGCCCGTTGGGGACTCCCCGGCGCTGCCCCCGCGGGCCCGGCCCCAGCGCGGCCGCTGCGCTGACGTCAGCGGCTGCGGAACGGCCCCGCTCCCCCCGCGGAGCTCTGACCCCGCTGAGGGCGTTTGATGGGGCTGGGGGAGCGCGCGGGGCCGGCGGGACTGCCACAGAGAACGCCGGAGTGCTCCAGCGACCTGGAAAAGCATTTTTAGTGGATGACATAACTTTAATCATTACTCCATGTCCTGGGCATGTGCTTAGGCTGCTCCTGTCTCTAAGTTTCACCTGGTTTCCGTGCTGTTTCCTAGTGACCCGCACGCAAGCACCGGTGCCCGGCCAGCGCAGGGCGAAAGCAGCTGGGGGCATCCCCGATCCCCGCAGTTCTTCCGCTGAGCTCACAGTGCTGCACTACTGCACCCACGAGCCGAACAGATCCTCCGTTAAAAATAAAACAGGAGCCCTGGAAACACATCAAATCCTGCCCTTCGCGGATGGCTATTGTCCACTGTGCACGCAGCAGAATCCGGGAGCTCGGGTCCCTCCCGCACCGGGCTCCCACCACATTCCACAGCCCGCGCTCTGCGAGAAATAACAGGCACAAAACCGAGAGACACTCACTGACGGGAAAGCTTTTGTTATATTTTGAATCTAAAACGCAACTGAAGTGAGAAACATCAGCCTCAGCGTTAGCTCGCGTGAAAGCATTCCCAAAATCTGGAGGGGGCAAGGCTTCCCCCAGCACCGAGGCTTCAGGGGCTCCTTTCCTTCTGCGAGGGACGTTCCTTTGCTGCTCCGACTGCACAGCAAAACCGAGCCCAGCCACCGACAAGAAAGGACTCAAAGATGAAGAACAGAAATACATGGTGGGTCTTTTTAATAGCATCCAAAAGCGATGCTAAACCGATACCTGACACATGGAAAAGAACAAAAGCCTGAATATTTCTCTTTCTCATCCTAAGCAAAACTTAGAATGCATTAATGAAAAATATTAACATAGCGACTGTGGGTGTTTGCTATCTGGTCCCCTGAATAAAAAGCTCTTTTAGAGCCTTTATTTCCAAAACTTAAACAGGAATAGAGATCTTTCTATAAATTATATGCATTGCTTAGACATGAAATACATATCCTGGAACAGTTATTTTTCATAACATATCTTTTTTCACTATCAGCAAGAACTAGGGCAAATTTCTATATAACACTGGGCAGTGAGAGAAAAACAAACCAGAAAGGCACAATCACAAAAGAAAAAAAATTAAATCACAAGTGGAAAATAAATGTATCATTTATAAATGCTAACATTTTGTAGTAGAAAGCACTGTTATGAGTGATACAATAAGTAAATTCATTTAAGCAAAGAACCAAAATACAACTACCAAAAGCCTTCTATTTTTGAAAAAAAAAAACAAACAAACAAAAGCAAAAAAAAAACCCACCCAAAACCATTAATTCTGAAGGTTTCAATTTCTCAGAAAGCAAACTTCTTAAAAAAAAAAACAACAAAAAACGCCAAAACAAAAACCCACAGTGTAAGGTTCCAAAAGTGGAGCAATTTGGCAAAGTTATAATTAAAATCAAAGAGATTCTGCTTGACTGGGGCTTGTGAAAGCCAGCCTTCCCTGATGCCACTGCTCTGGGGTTTTTTTCTTAAAATCCTTGCCATCAAATGCACCTGACCCTCAAAATCCTAAATTTTAGCAAAATAAGTACTTTGCATTAACTTAAAACATCAGTATGTACTCATTGCAAGTTGAATTCCTTCTTTAAAAAGAGACCAAAATACATGTCCAGCTTATCCCACTGACATACTGATGATATTTTTGTGATAAATTACATTTATCAGGCACCTCTGACTACTTCAAACTGGGCTTGGGCTACTAATCCACCTCCCCCAGGATTTGCTGTAACATTCCAGGCATAAGGGTAGCTTCCCATAGCCAACATTTTTCTTAAAAAAATAAAAAGAAAAAAGGAAAAGAAAAACTGTTTTCACCCTTCCCCCTAATGTGAAATGCCCTCATCCAAGGATGGGCAGCAATCATTCCTGACCCAGGGAAAGGTGTAAGGTCTGATATCTGACCCATCAGAAGCTTGCTTTCATTAGAAAGATGAGACACCATTTTCCCAAAGATATATACACAGCACTTGATTATAGTCCTGGGAGTTCTGGAGAAATCTGACCTTTTAAATTACATTACTACGTACAGAAAAATCTATTTCAGGCAAATTTCAGGAACTGAGATATTTAAATAAACTTTATTCTCTTTTTTTTTTTTTTAATTTTTCCCAGATATTTGTAAATAGGACTCAGGATAACAAAAAGCATCTGATGTTAGGGATGCCTGTCTTGCTCCGTACGGGTTCCATTCCATCTCACTACCCCAAGGCATTCTCTGTGGGCGCACAAGCGTTTCCCACCCGGTGTTCCACCACCGGCTATGTCCTCTCTGCCTCTCACAGCTCGCCCATGGCTTCACTCCCCCAGCCTGACGGATGAAACCGACCCTCAGTACCGCACAGCCCAGGGCCACTTGCACGGACAGACAGCTATTTTTATCCTCTTGCTACCATAAACGAGTATTTCTCTAGCTCTGAAAGGGCACACAATCCGTGTCAGCACAGTTTCACATGTTTGCTCTTTTGGGCTAATAAAATCTCAGAGAAAACAAATTTTGATTTAGCGTGTCTCCCCTCCCCTTCCCGTGAGCCGCTGCCGCTGTCAGTCCTCGGGGGCACACACAGCAGGGCACCATGTCATGTCACACTAGGTGCTGGGATTCAACAAAGGCCAACATGTTGATATCTTTTTATTGCTCGGCAGCCTGGTTACCCCATTTTCCCCCTCTACAATTGGACGCTTTTGGTAATACGGGAAGTTCTGAAGCAGCAACAATTCTGTTTTCAGTCAGAATAGTGTTTTTGTTTTACAAAGCAATACTCTCTGATCTTGCTTTTTAGGTCACTAAGTACAATTCTTTATTTTTTACAGAAACTAAAGTTGGGAACTTTAGAGAGTACATTTATTTGCAATTAATGTAAATATTTACATTGCCAGATAATGCTTTTTTAGGTAGCCTAAAGACTATTCGACATTCTTTACTAATTAACAAAAGTGTCTAAGGTGTTACTACCTATAGAAAAAGAAGTTTCGCCGATCTACAACTACAGCTACCACAGGGTGGTTTATTTTGCGTAGAAATGAAAGGCAAAGCCTGTGCACGGGGTCCCTAAACTGGGCACGAGAAAACCCTAAAGGTGCCGCAGCCCCAGCCCCACAAGGGCGGGATGGCGGCGGCCCGCGGGCAAGCCTGGAGTTATTCCCATGCACAGTGCCCGGGCTATGGAGGACTCTGGGAGCTAGCGAGGGCTGCAGCATGAAATAACATGTTTTGTTGTAATTCCTAAACAGGGGGACATTTATCTGGGCCATTTATACAAGAGTTATAACCCTCACAATATTTATACTCAGCATGTCATGTTAGCATTTACTACCCGTTTCCATGGAGATGGATTTTCATGCTGTAGCTATGAAATGCACATTGTTGCCACTAAGCCACTTCAGGCCTTTCTGGATGCCTGCTGAATGCCTGACAAAAGTTGATGCAAACCAATAGTTGTTGTTCTTTGTTTGTTGCCAGACTTCTAGCAGAGCCATATTATGTCCTAGTGATTGAAATGCCCATGTTCGCCCCCCTCCCGGCACAAAAAGGATCCTCAATTTAGGTGACAAGCATGAAGTGGGCTTCTGCAGGGGAGGGCGGCCCGGCGCGGGGCCGGGCTCCGTCCCTGCGCGGGGCCGCGGCGCGGCGGGGGCCGCTCCCGACAGCGCCTGACATTTGGGGATAAAGCCGCAATAAGAGAGAGCGCGGGCAACGCCGGGGCCGGGGCCGGGGCCAGGCTCAGCGCCGGCCTTCTCCCGCCGCCGCGCCGGTCCCTCGGCCGGGCCCCGCCGCGCCCGACGGCCGTTCCAGCGGGCCGGCCCGCAGCAGCGCAGCGACGGCCCCGCCGAGCCCCCGGCCCCGCCGCCGGGCAGGGGCATCGGCCTTTCTGGGGCCTCGGCCTCTCGGGGCGGCTCCGGGGCAGCGGGTGGGACGGGACTCGCGGCGGGCAGGAGAGAGCCGCGGGACGGCTCCGGGCGCGGCGCTGCCTGCGCGGCCCAAACCGGGCCGGGCCGCCCCATCGCCGTCCCGCCCGACGGCACCGCACGGTACCGGACCGCGGCGGGCCCGGGGCGGGAGGCAGCCCTGCCCGGGCCGGACGCCACGGCTCGGTGTCTTCGGTCCCATTCATGCCCGCCGCGCAGCCTACGCCGGGGTCCCCGCTCGCCGTGGCCGCCACCCGTAGCCGTGAGCCCGGTGCCGGGCTGCCCCGCTCCGCCGGGCACGGGGCGCGGCCCGGTCGGGAACACGCCCCGAGCCGCCGCGCGCCGCGGGCCGGGCCAGGCCGGGCCGGGCCGCCCCGGCGGGACCCCCGCCGCCCCCCGCGCCCTTACTGTTGGTAGTCCTGCTTGCAGTAGAGCTTGCGGTCCCGGAAGTAGCAGCTGGTGGTGAGCGCCTGCTGGCACGCGGCGCACTGTAGGCACTCCTCATGCCAGGAGGACTCGTTCACCCGCATCAGGAACCGGTCCGAGATGGGCCGCTGGCAGCCCTCGCAGACGGCCTGGTGCTGGCACTCCGACCCTGCAACGGCAGACGGCGGCGTCAGGCGCCGGCCCTGGCCCCACCTGGCCCCGCTCCCAGCCCCGACACAACCCGGCCCCGCTCCGCAGTCCCCGTCCCGGGCAGCGCGGTCCGCCCGGCCCAGCCGGTCGGTAACACCGAGCTCGACGGCTGCCGCCGGTCCCGCGCCCCGCACATGCCGGCGAGACGGTCCCGCGCCCCGCACCGCTCGGGGGCTGGCCGGCCACGGTCGGCATCAGACCGGCCGGGCCCCTCGGAGCGCAGCCCCGGGCACAGAGCGGTGCGCGGGACGGCTCTCGGCGTAGTCAAGAAGCGACCGGCAACTCACCCAGCAGCACTCCCAGCGTGGCCGGCCCCGAGCGCAGGGGGTGGTCTTCCATTTTAATGCCGTCCAGCATCTTGGCGCAGTCCGGTGGGCCCCGCGGGAAGCACCTCTCCAAGGACTCGGGACCCGTCGCGATGTCCATGAGCGGCGGCGAGAGGCGCTGCCGGGCGGCGGGGCCAGCTCAGCCCCGCGTCGGGCCGGGCGCGGGGACACTCTGCGGCCGGGAGGAAGGAGTCGCTTTTATTTTTATCTGGAAGACATGAGGAGCGTTTCCTGCCCGGGCTTCCAGAGACGGGGGGCAGAGGCAGGAGCCGGCGCCGCCGCCCATGGGGCCGCCCCGCTACACGGGCGCGCACATGCCGCGCACACGGCGCCGGGCAGCCGCGGTGTCACCTGCTCGCCGGCAGCGCCGGACCCACGCCCTGCTTGGCGCGGAGGGCCCTCCCGGGGCGGGCCGTGCCGGGCGGAGCGCGGGCGCGGCGGGCCGGGCGGGGCACGGGGCTCCCGGCGCTCCCAGCCCCTGAGCCGTGCGGCGGCCCGAGGAGCCGCGCCGTTTAGAGCAGGGGCCGCGGCGGAGGAACACACCCCCCGGCGCCTCACCCCTCCTCAAACTTGCTGACATTTGAACTCCATTGGTGCGCGGCGTATCGCTGCGCCGCGGTGATCCGTCTCCTCGACGTCAAATAGTGCCCTGGCCCCGCCGGGCCCCCGCGGCCCCTGAAGCGCGGCGGCGCCCGGGGCGGCCGGCTCCGTGCACCCCGGGGCGGCCGAGCGGCGCGGGCAGCGCGGGCCCGGGTCGCGCCCCCGCGGGCCGCGGAGGGGGAGAGCGGTCTTGGCTGCCGAGGGTGGCGGATGAGCGGGACCCCGGCTGCTCCGCTCCCCGGTCCGCGCCCCGCGCTGCTCCTGGCCCGACGGCGGCTCTCGGCTCCTGCCCTGGCCGGGGTAGGTAGCAGCGCGCGTCCAGCGCCGGGCCGCGGGCAGGTGGCTGCAGAACTGTCCCTCGGGGCCCCGGGACCGGCGGGGACGCGGTTCTGTCCCGCGGACGGCAGCGGCGCGACCGGCCCCGGCGGGCACGCGGGACGGGGCAGCGGGGATCGCGCCGCGCACGCCCTTCCTCGAAGGGCGGCTCCGAACCGTCCCGCCGAGGCTGCCAGCGGGAAAGCTCGGGGGGAGCAGCGGCCGAGGGCTGCGGGAGCTTTGCGGCGGCGGAGCCCGTGCCCGCTCCCGCAGCGGCGCTGCCCGCTCGGCTTGGTCGCCAACGCTTTTGAACCGCGGGCTCGGTGCGGTGCGCGCGTGTGCGGGACAGCCCGCGCTCACCGCGCCGCGATTCCCTCCGAGGAGAAAACGACGGGAAAGGGATCCTGCATGGAGCGCCGGACCCCGCGCTGCCGGCTCCCCTTTCGTGGTTTTGTTTTTGGGTTTTTTTGTTTGTTTGTTTTTTTTGTTCGTTCGTTTTTGTTTGTATCTTTGTTTGCTTTTTTCTCCTGATACCGTTAAAATCTAAATATGAGGAACTGAAAATCCAGAAAAAATTCTTTGCGGAGATTCTTAATGTGACCTGTGATATGCCATGACCCTGTCAAGAGAAGGAGTATATTTTGTAATGCTCCTAAAATATTGATACTTAATAAGCAGGACGAATGTTAACTTAAATTACTTAATGCTTCTGTTTTGTGGGTCTTAAGATAAAACTTCTTTTTATGCAGTTTTCGCACGGAAAAAATCTTTGATAAAAATTCGTCACAGTGTTTTAGTAAATTATTTTGGAAAAGGTTTTCAGTAACACAGCCTATTTGTTTTTGTTCTAGACGGTAGAAATCGGAAAATCTTTGTCGTTAATGCTGAAAAAATAATATATGATTATTTAATTCTGAGATCAAGATAAAGGCTGCTAAGATTTCACAGTTCAATCAGTGGCGCAAAAGCTGATCGTTCACATTAATTTTTTATGTCCCCTTCCTATTTTCGTGTAAGGATTCGGAGTTCTCCATCACACAGGGCTTCCATCAAATTATCTTCTACAACTGCGTGGAAAATTAAAGCCCCTGTTTCGCAGGAATTTTCATAAATTCTGGCTATAAAATAACAAGAAAAAAAACACCTCCTCAAAACCCAACGAAAAGGCAGCGCTGAGCAGCGGGACCGGGAAGCAGAGCGAAAGCCCCCAGCCCTGCACCCGCAGCAGTAATTCCAGCTTTGTTCGTGGGCTTTTACTCGCAAATATCACATTAAAGGTTTGTTGCTTCTCTCCGTGTGTGTATACGAGCACTGCGCCGGGTAATTGTTATCCCCGCTCCTGCCCCGAGAACAATTCGATGAGGTGTTATATAGGTTTATATAATGCTTTTAACGAAAAACGAAATGCAATTAAAACACCCACGCGCAAAACCATCACAGAAATAAACCCTAACCAGACTACGTAGCCCCACCTCCCCGCGGCTTCCTTCGAATTGTCCTTTTATTTGCAAGGCAAATCTCTTTGTTTTGAGTTAAATTTGAGAGTCGAACAAGAAAAGCAGTCGGTCCCAATCCTTCCCAAACGAGGCAGGAGGAAGGAACCATCGGGATAACTAACAACGGCCGAGCCCTCCGCACCGACTCCCCCACCGGCCGCCGGGACGCGCCGCCCCGTCCCGGCTCCTGGCCCGTCGGTCCCGCCCGGTGCAAATGCTCGCGGTACCCGGCGCTGCGGGGAGCGCAGCGGGACCCCGGGCGTGAGCGGGAACCCGGGAGGGCCACGGGCGTCTCCGCACGAGGCCAGGGGGGCGCCGGGCTTTCTCCGCAAAAGCGTGCGGTGCCGGCGGATGCGCGGGCGTCCGTGCAGTCTGTCTGTGCGCGTTCCCGGCTGCCCGGACGCGTGTTTTCCCCAGTACCGACGGGCACCGCCCGCTCCCCTGCTGAGGTGGGCACGACCAGTGGGGTGCCGGGCGCTCCGCAGGCTGCGGTTTGGTGCGGGCCGTGCGGTCCGGTCGTGCGGCCGGGGCAGCCCCGGGAGGTGCCGGTGCCGGTGCCGGTGCCGGTCCGGGCTGAGCGGGGCTGGGCCGGGCCCGGTGCCGGCGCGGCGGGGCTCGGGCGCAGCCTGCCCCCTGGCGGCGCGCGGCGGCACGGCAGGGGCTCGGCGGGCGCGGGGTCAGCCGGGGCGAGCGGCGGGGCCGGGGCGAGCGGGGCCGACCGGACCGGGAGCCGGGCAGCGCCGGGACGGCGGCGCTTCCCACCCCTGGACGGGCCGGACAGGCCTCCAGCCTAGCGGTGCGCGGCCGCCGGCCCCAGCCCTGCGGCACCGCGGCAGCGGGGCGCGGGGGGAGGCCCTGGGCAGCCGCGTGCCAACGGCTCACCGTGTCCTGTTCTTCTCCACCCACAGCCGGACTCCGCAACTCGCTCCCCTGCGGAGCCCCGGCCTTCCCCGCTCGCCAGCGGCCGACGCCGGTGCACAGAAAAACACCCGCGGCGTTCGGGGAGCCGGGGCACCAGGCTGCCGGCACGGAGGACAGCTGCCTGGCTTCGGCACCGGCACGGAGACCGGCGGCCGCCCCTCGGGCGGCCTCACTGCCGGTTGTCCGCGGAGCCTCCCACAACAGGGCGCTCCCCAAGCTGCAAGTCCGCAGCTCCGACCGAGCCCCCGGTGGCGGCGCCCGCCGCCCGGTGCTTCCACGTCGCCGGGCCTCTCCCCCGGCCGTCGACGTGCGTGCAGTCCCAGGACCGGGCCGATTTGGCTCGGTGGCCCTAGCGGAGCGGCCCCGGCCCGGGAGGAGCCGCCGCTGGCGCACGACGGTGACTGATCCAGCCCGCGCTCCCCCCTCGGAAGGATGGATGTGAACGAGCTACTAAGTGTAGTTACTAATAACAATAACAATAAATTATCGGACTGTTGCTCAGTAATGCAAACAAATGTTCCGTGAACCACGCGGAGTCTCCCCGTGCCTCGCAGCAGCCCCACCGGGACCGGCCCGTCTGACGAGCGGCTGCTCCACGGCCCAGAGAGACGACCCTGTTCGCCCGGCGGCCTCACGGAGCAGGTGACAGGGCCAGCGATCAGGGACGGGGCCAGCCAGGGTGGCCGATAGGGAAGGTGGTGCCGGCAGTATCAGGCAGAATGCGGTCGGAGGCCGCGCCGCGTGAAAAGCGGCGAGCACGGAGCCGGTATTTTAATTAAGCAGGACCTCTTTGATATAGGCCGCTTGATGCTATCTATCTCTGCTCTCTGTTCCCGTCACGACAGCATTTGGGTAGGAAAATTGCTGAGCGAGGCGGGTCAGGCAGGGCGTCGGTGCCGCGCCGAGGAGCCGGAAAGCCCCAGGGAGCGGCGGGTGCTGCGCAGCGCTGAGTCCTAACCCCACCGCGGTGCGGTGCCGCCGAGTGCCTTTTCGGGGGGCCTGGAGGAACGGGAGCCAATTTACCATGATTAAAGGCACAGGCGAGGAGGCGCCACGCATTTGCATGCGCCTTCATCTTCCCTAAGTGGATTTTTGAGGGCAGCGCGGCAGACAAGCTCGGGCTCCGCATTCCCTCGCCCGTGGAGCGCCCGTCCTGATGGCCTCGTGGCGTCGAGCCCCCCGCCCGCCCCAAGGAGCCGCAGGACCGGGCTCGGCTCTAAGGCCCGGCGCGGAGCAGCTCCGCCACTCGGCCCCTCCTGCGGCGACCGGCGGCTCCGTGCTGCGCCCGCGACTAACCCGGCGCCGGGCACACCCGCAAGGGCTGCGCCCCAGGCGGAGGCTGCTCCTCATCCTCATCAGGCCCCGGCTCTGGCTGCCCGCTCGCAGAGCTCTAGCGCGGGCCTTGTTACTGGCTCAGCCCTGTTCCTCACCCGCCCTGAGCCGCAGCGACCCAACGGGCCCCGTGACAGCGGTGGCGGCCGCCGGGCTCGGGCCCGGGTCGCCCCGAACGCAAGGGCTCTGTGCGGCCGCTCGCCGGGGGCAGGGACCGATGGGGCGGGCGTGAGGAGCCCGGCTGGCAGCAGCGTGTCGCGCACATGTGCCCCCGCGGCGACCGATGCCAGGTGCGAGGCTGGGGGCAGAGTTTACCGCCGGTCTCTGACGGCTCTGCGGGTTTTCCAGCCCAGGGGGTGTGGGAGGGGTCCTTCCCCAGTTCAGGGCAAATACCTTCGTTTCACTGGGAAATTCAACCTCTCCTTGGAGCTGGATCCATTATACGGGTTTAATATCCGCTCTTTTACAGCTCAGTGTTGTAAAAGGCAGCAGCCAGGTCTGTGAACTCTGACATGTGCACCCGGGGGG